AAAACTTGCGTAGCACATCCACACGGCACACTCACATACACACACGCACGCGAAGAATAAAGGCAAGCATTCTCCCACCAACTTACATCTCCAGCTTCCGAATTTAAATTTTTTTTTGCTACTGGGGCTCAAACTCACAACCTCATGCTCACCAGGCAGGTGCTGTGCTGCTGAGCTATACTCCCTGCCCTTGCAATTTAAATTTTAAAAAATAAACCAGGCGTGGTGGCACAAGCCTGTAATCTCAGCACTTGGGAGGCTGAGGCAGGAGGATCACAGAGAGTTCGAGGCCAGCCTAGCCTAAATAGTAAGTTGAAGGCCAGCCTGAATTACAAAGCAAGACCCTGTCTTAAGAAAAACTAGGGGCTGGGGATTTAGCTCAGCGGCAAAGCGCCTGCCTGGCAAGCGCAAGGTCGTGAGTTCGGTTCCTGGTACCGGAGAAAAAAAACCAAAAAAAAACCAAAAAACCAAAAGAAAAACTAAACTGGGCGGGGTGGCGCACGCCTGTACTCTCAGCACTCAGGAGGCTGAGGCAGGAGGATCATCCTGAGTTCGAGATGAGCCTGGACTACAAAGTGAGCTCAAGGCCAGCCTGAACAGCATAGTGAGCCCTTGTCTCAAACAAAAACAATTAGGTTTTTCAGACAGGGTCTCACTCAGTTGCTAAATTCCTAGGCTGAGCTCAAATTTTCAGCCCTCCTGCCTCAGTCTCTCAGAGAGAGGTGGGGTGACAGGCCTTCGCCACCACACCTCCAAAAAATTCAAATAAAAACAATGGGGCTGGGGATTTAGCTCAGTGGCACAGCGCCTGCCTGGCAAGTGCAACGTCGTGAGTTCGATTCCCGGTACCGGAAAACAAACAAACAAACAAACAAAAACAAATAAAAACAATGACGGATTTCTACATAATGGCGTTGTCGGGAAGGGAAATCTTCCTTGGGGAGCAGAGGAAACGTCTACAGGGCAGGAAACCTTTGCTCTGGTCTGCGCAGCTCCTTCAAAGGGCAGCAGCCAGGCGGCGCCGCAGGAAGTGAGGCTGCGGGGCGGGGACCAGCAGCGCCCAGACGAAGAGTAGAAGGTTTCTGAGATAGCGTTTCGCTGTGTAGTGCAGGCTGGCCTTGAACTCACTCTGGAGCCCAGGCTGGCCTCCAGCTCACCGCGATCCTCCTGCCTCAGCCTCCCAGTGTGGGGGATTACAGGCGTGCGCCACCACACCCGGCCGAATAAACCGTTCTTTAAAAGTTTGAAAATTATTTCTAGCACAAACAAGGTAATTCTTCTGTGGCATTTGAAAATCTTCTAGTACTATGAACAAAACAAAACCAAATGAACAAAAGCCAAAGCCAGAAATTCACCAATGTGACCGGGCACGAATTTCTCAACAAGCTTCACCCTTTTTCACATCCAGCCTTACATCCCCGGGGCCTTTCTGCAAATACTGGAGTGAGCGCTGAAGGCTTCTCCTCTGTGAACGCCCTGTGTACTGCCCACCAACAGGTGCGGTGCTGGGTGCACGCTCGTGTGCACACAATTGTGCACTACTGGGGACCGAACCCGGCGATGCCCTACCACTGAGTTACACCCCTAACCCTTTTTCTTTTGTTTTTTTTGAGGGGTTTTTTTGGTCTTTTGAGACAAGGTCTGCCTCTGCAGTTCAGGCTGGCCTTCAGCTCACTTTGGAGCCCAGGCTGGTCTTGAACTCACAATGATCCTCCTGCCTCAGCCTCCCGAGTGCTGGGATTACAGGTGTGTCCCACCACGCCCTGCTACCCCCAACCCTTTTTGCACATTTTTATTTTGAGACATGGTCTTACTAAGTTGGCCAGGTTGGACTCCAACTTGAGGTTTCCCTGCCGCAGCCTCCTGAGTAGGTAGGGTTAGAGTCATGTGCCAACAAGCCCACCTCTAGGCCAGTCTATTTTCAATCCAGAAGATAAAACTTTAGGAAGGTTAAGTGACATGCACCATGCCATAAAGCTAGTAAATGACAGAAACGGAATTATCTGGCCAGTCTGACTCAGGACATTTACTCAGGAAGGGCAAACTGGGCATGATGGTGCACACCCCTAATCCCGGTTGCTCAGGAGGCTGAGGCAGGAGGATCTCAACTTGATGCCAGGCTGGGTAATTCAGAGAGACCCTGTCTCAAAATAAAAAAAATAAAAAAGGGTTGGAGGTGTAGCTCAGTTATGAACATCCCTGGGTTTGATCCCTAGGAACACACATACACACACACACACACACACACACACACACACACACACTAACCTATGTATTTGACTAATTATGAATTATAAGACTGAATTATTCGCTACTGTGTTCCTAGCTTTTATCTCGGTGCCTCGGACATAACTGATGTTTTAATAATTGTTGAATGAATAAGTGCATGTCTCTTTCCACTCTTTTGTCTTTTGAGACAGGGCCCGCTATGTAGTCCTGCAGGGCTTCTTCTGCATTCACTGTGTAGCCCAGGCTAGCCTTGAACTCAGGCAATCCTCCTTCCTCAGCCTCCTGAGTGCTGGGATGTCAGGCGAGCGCCACCACACCCGGCTTCCTTTCTATACTGTGTAGGGCTGACACCGGTCAGGTCGTTGTAATTTGTCCACATACTAATTTTTTTCCTGGGAGACTAGAGCGACTGCAGAGATAAAAGCAGCACGGGCACACGCCTATGATGCCAGCACTCTGGGTGGCCGAGGCAGGAGGATTGCAAATTGCTGTCCAGCCTGGGGAATAGGGCAAGGCTCAGTCTTAAAGGTAAAAAAAAGAAAAGAAAAGCGCTGGGAATGCAGGTGGGCGGAAGGGTCGGGGTTCGAGCCCCAACACCGGAGGGGGTGTCGGCCTCTTCCCGCCAATGGCTGGGAAGAGGGGGTGGGGTGGGGG